AGCATCCCTTTTTCCCACACCATCACCATCACCTGCAATGTATGTATATATAAAGGACGCACGGAAAAAGAAAGAAGAGCGCCAATCTTATACATACACCGTTTGCCTCTCTGCATGTAAGGCGTATATATATATATATATATATGGTACACGCGTTAGACAAAGCGCGTACATACACACGTGGAGGAGATATTCAAATTTAGACGAAAGGGGAAGAGGTGGAGGAGCGAGGGGAGCACATTTATGCCACGCAGTGTACATCCGGTACGGTATATATGTATATGTATATATGGGCCGTGTAATGTACGTCCGTGCGCCCACGCACCGCGGGAGCGATAAGCTTCGCAGTGTACATCACGTGAGTATTATATGTGTACTGAATGGTGTGGACGGGTTGAAAAAACAAAAAAAAAAAAGAAGTACACAACACGGTAGCAGCAACGTATAATAGATATACATATACACTCGCGGTACGTGATCGCTAGAGGAGATATACACGAGCCTATTGTGTTTCTGTGTGTGTGTGCGTGTGTCAACGATGACCCGTTATGTTGCGTATACACACCCACACACATGCATATAATATATAATTAGGTGTAACACGGAGGAAGCCGAGCGCTTGCACATTTATAAGTATATATACTTGTACGAATGCACGGTGTGTACAATTACGCGTCCGAAATTTTCATGTGTCGTAGGGAATTTCTACACAGTTACATGCGAATGGTGTGGGGATCGAGCGGAATTGTGTTTTCAACAAATCGATGGCTGTGTGTATAACGGGTTGAAAGAAATAAGTCTCGATCTCGACAAGTGTTTCTGTAGCTGATGTTTTTCGCGCGATGCAACGGAAAAGAGGTGCAATTATCGTTGGCCAAACGAATAGAACAGAAGAAAGAGAAATGCGTCGAACACGTCGGTCATTTGAGCCATATACAAGGGTATCCGTACTTGTACTGCCAAAGCGGACGTCGCTTATCACGGAATTGATGTTTACACTGCCGTAAATCGAGGGACGATTTTGCGAGGCTCTTAAGAATGTATCAGGCACCTATATGACCCAAACGCTTACCACACAATCGATCAAAAGACAAAAACTACCCCGTGCGTCGTTCGACAACCTCGCAAATGGTTGAAAAAACGCGTATTACTTGTGCATCTATACCACACACCAAAACAAGTCAGGCTCCTCCAAAAATTTTTCATATTCATTCAGTCCATTCGTCGGCAGCCCCCCTCTGCCCCCCCCCCCCATGTATGGCGATACAACGCGAGTTTGCGACCATCTCTCTTTTGCACCTACGCGTGGAAAAAAAAAAAAAAACAGGAAACGAGCGGCCGAGCATGTACAATACATATATGTACATCCGTGCGTGTACGATGTGCATGTATATATGTAAAGGCCGGGCGCCCGGACTGGCGAAAAAACGCACGCAGGCACCTCTGAAATATAAAAAGGGGTTCGCTCTTTGCGTGTGGGGAAAGAAAAAAAAAAAAAAAAAAGAAAGCGTGCGAGGGAGTAGGCAGAGGCGGATAAGAGCATACACGCGCTCGGCAAAGGGGGGGCGTGGGGGGCCGAGGAAAAAGCTCGAAAATTAAAAAGCGCCCCCGCGTAGGTATATAAATCGCGGAATATTACGCGCGGTATATATCACTCGGAGGGGGGCAGCTCGCGCACACGTAAAAGTTTTCTCTCTCGGTGCAGAAAAAGAGAAAGGGGGGGGGGGCTTGATTCGGCTCATGATATCCCCAACTATGTGCTGTATATTTTTACGTATGTACGCGTGTACGGAGGCGCATATCGGCGCTGCGCGCGATCAATACACCCTCTACTACGCACCGCGAGGGAGGAAGGAAAAGGGACGCTGTGGCTCTCTCTCTCTCTCTCTCTCCCCCCTTCGTCCGACCGTCCGTCCACGCCAGTCCTTGTGTGCGCACATACCTTTGAAAAAAAAGGGGGGAAGAGACGAAGAAGAAGGAGAATAAACGTATACGCGAATGAGCTTTCCTACGTGCATCTGCACGAGGGAGTGGAAGAGCTGCAAAGGGAAGGGGGGTTGAACTGGTATGGATATCGATTGATTGTTCTTATTGCCAAAGCTGATGGATGCATTTTTATTTTGATCGCACACGGAAGCTGAGGGGTTTGTTTTTTTCCTTACCCTTAAAGAAGGGGGAGGTATAACACATGTGTGCATGTGAAATGCAAGGAATATGTCGGTGGTAGCGAGCAATACATAATATTGTATACTATAAAACTGTCGTTCCTCAATTAATTTTCACGGTTGTATAAAATAATGAACGAGTCCGTAGGTACAAAAATACATTTGCAGCGAACTACATATTGCATTTCACATAATATAGTATATATAGTATATTATGTATACGAGATATTAAATACCCGTGTGTGGCTGCTCGAGACAATAAAACAATGAAATAAATCTCAAAAGTGTAACTGCAATGCACAATAGCAGCGAGAAACCAGTTAATTTAATACTAGGTGTAGCGTATTGAAATCTAAAATTGAATGCTGATTTTTCTTTTTCTCTCTTTTTTTTTCCTCCAACGACACACTCCTCACGGATATATTCACCGCGGGTATCGGTGAAAAGTCGTCGCTTCAAGGAGTTTATGTGTACTTATTATACACGAGTACAATAAGGGCCATGTTCTTTGGTGCGCGTACATATTATATAGGTACACACATTATCCAACAGTAGAAAGTCGAAAAACGACGTTACAAGGTCGGCCGTTTGAAATCATATACATTGTGCACTAGACAACCCGTGAGTGCCGTTAAAGGAAAATGATGCAACTCGGTGTCAGCGATGGACTAATGACTCTTTTTTTTTTCTTTTTTTTTTTTTCTTCTTCGTTGCTTAACACACCCGAAAACGAGGCCACAGCTCTCTATCTATTTTCGTCGGCGTGCATCAACACCAGCAGCAATCAGATAACTCAACGGCGTATAGCACCAGAGCAGCATACACGTCGGTATATAAATATACAGATTAGATATTATTGTAACGCACATGGCGCGCGGTGGCTCTTTTTTTTTTTTTTTTTTTTTTGGCTCTTCGATCGCTTTACACACTCGCACGTATATAATAGTGATGCGCGCGCCCGCGGGAGCAGCACAAGCATTTGGACTGCATATAGGTATATACATACATCATTATGGGCGCGCGTCCATGACCCACATTAGATTAGATTCGTTGAAGGCTTTTTCTTTGTCTATCAATGCATACGTATGTATAAAGTGTATATATATACAACACGCGCAGTCGATGCTGGCTGCTGCTGCGCCGCTCTATGTGTGTGTGCTTGGTCTTGTGTCACTCGTATCCGTGTGTGCGTGCGCTCTCGCGTACACCGCATGTGAATCGAGCGCTTGCGAGAGCTCAGCTGCGCGGTATATATATGCTGTCGTTTGAATGTATTTATACCTATATGTACAATGGAAATGTACCAATCGCGGCTCAAGGCTGTATATGCGTACAAATATATATATATATATATATATATATTGTACCTTACGAAAGTGACTCGGAAGCGTTGTATCATCGCTTCTCTCTAAAAAGCTTTTTTTGGGGTATCACGCGGAGCTGTATACCTATGGGTTGGCCCGCGAAGCTCAACTTTGACGTGCAGCGCATCGATTGCCCAATCTCGTCCTAACCAAAGTGCATCTCGACACTGTTATCATTTGTTGTTATATGTCACTGCTAATACATGTTGAAAATTAATGGGGATATACAAGTGAATCAGTAGTTCGGTTAACAAAACAAAAAACAAAAATTGACTTGTAATAATTGTCAGTGAATCCACATTTTATGTATATACATGCACACGTGACAGAGTGGATGGGCGCGTGTGTCGAAATTAAAGGCTTACTTGCACCGTGGGTGGGAGAGTAAAAAAAGGTATTTTACGTGCCGCACATAAGAAGATAAAATAAAATGTGTGCGTGTATCGAAATATCGATAAAGCGATGCGATGTTGTCATTGCACTTGATTAAAATTTTGAAACATTAGGTGTACAGGTGTACCTACAACATACTCGTGTCTGTTCTTCTTTGCAATACATACACACAATACATGAGTGTAAATATAGGTAAAAAAGTTGATTCAAAAGTGTCTAATTGAAGGCGTTAGTCATGACTACACGGACAACTATAAACTTCTTTTGCCACGAGCAATCATCACTTGTACTATACAGTAAAAGAAAAGAAAAAGAAAAAATCAGTCCGCGCGTGCGTAATCGTACCATATTTGGTCCTCGATCGGGACGACAAAAGCGCTTCCAGCTGAAAATCTTTCACGGGACAACATTAGCGCGCGCGGAAATCATCTATATCTGCACAAAGTACATGTGCAGAGGAACATACACGTACATATGCATGTATATTTGTATGCATACTGTATCGTGGCGGGGTGGGGATGTACACCAACCATCCAACCGCGCATGCATCGCTGCTGCAGTGCTGGCGAATCGCGTTGCGAATATAATGCGTCTATATTGCAAAGAGTAGGAGGTACAACCTCCTCCGCCCCTTTTCGCGTGCACCGTCGCAATGGCCGGTCCGTCGGCGAACCCTCCCATCGCGCGAATCGTCAACTATATATTTATATATATATATGCACCGTGGTCCTTTTTTCTTCCTTTCTTTTTCATTGTTTATCCTTCATTGTCGCTGCGTTGTTTACTATGGCTCCGCTGATGNGGCCGGAGAGGAAAAAGGAACGGCCCCGACCAATCGCGTCTCGGTGAGCGTCTCTCCCAGAATCATGGCCGGCCTCCCCTTCGCAAAGAGACCATCGTACACACACACACACCGAGGGCCCCGGGGGAAGGGGGAGAGCCGCCACTGCTTCTGACTGGCTGACTCCCGTCTCCCGTCCTGCTTTCCTTTATCTGTGTGCATGGCTATACACTTATACTTTTTTTTTTTTTTTTTTTTCACACGACGATCGGAGTAGAGAGGAAAAAGCATCCGTACCTTCGGCGACGCCGTCCTTGTGCTCGGCGTTGCGCTCCCGTTCCTCGGAGGCCTCGCGCTTAAGCTCGCGCTCGAGCTCCGTGGGCGTGTGGGGCGCAGTTTGCGGATGCGTGGGCGTATCGGCGTGGAGGCCGAAAGGCTGGAACAGGTGGTTCTCGAGGATGAGCGGGTGGGGCGCCGAGTCCGGCCGGAAGGCTGGGTTGTCCCGCAGGACCGAGGCTCGGTTGCCCAGGCTCGTGCCTTCGATCTCGTTCGGCGACCTGTTGCTGAGACACACGGCCACGCTGATTAACCCACTTGCGTGCATCGTTTTGCATTACTATATACTTATTGTACAACGTGTCTACTCATGTCATTTTTTTTTTTTTTTGGGGGGCGAATCGTCAACTATATATTTATATATATATATGCGGAGCCTTGGATCTTACACTGTACCGCGAGACGTATATATATTGACACATAGCCATAAGCGTCACGCTCGGCGGGGCGGTCAGTGGTGCTGCACCGCTTTGACGGAGTATACATATATATGCGTGCATTTCCTTTGTAGTTTGAGCCGTTATAATCAAGGGGGGTCTATTTCGAGGGTGTCGAGCTTCTCGGAGACGCGACACGTGCGAAAACGTCGTCCCTCTCTCCCTCTTTCAGCTCTTCGATTATCGATGGTGTGCAGCGTCAAAGAGGTATAGAGCCGTTTTATTGGATCTTCTGTACCTTTATATAAATATAATGTATACGTTTCGAGACACAAGACGAGGCGAAAGAGTATAGGGGCCGTTTTTTCCCTTTTCCTTGGCTCTTCAAGTGTACATGACGGGTGCACTCTTTTGAGCGCCACTCGGCCCACTGATGCGGTTATACCTCGGCTTTTACATTTTTTTTTTTTCATTCCGGCAAACTATTAATAAATTTTTCCCTCTTATTGCAACAACGCGTTTCTCAAACTCTATTTTTTTTTTTTTTTTTTTTTTACGATGACGAACATATAATTAAAATCAATTGTATGTACATTGCGTTTTCCAACAGCACCGAGAGAGTGAATAAAAAACATAATGTACAAGTAATACAAAGTGACCCATGGAACCTTTTAATGTCTTTTGGAATAAGTAGTATTTTTTCTTTTTTCTCCACTTTTCGATATGATTATCTCAGCACCTTATGTTCAAGCTATAACGTTTATGTTTTAATTTTTGAACGAATGTAATATCAAACTGTAAATGATTATTTTTTAATCTGCAAATCTCTAAAATCAATGTAAGACTTTACTCAATAAATTATGCCAATATTGGGCGTACATTATGAATCCCGGGGACCATCGGTGCAATACAACGCATAAGTATACTAGTAGGGGGAAAAAAAAAAATGAAATTCCAATAACCCAAAACGCGTATTCCAGTCAAACATAAATAGAAAGACTCTAAGCGTCTCGTCAAAATGACCGATCGTATATATACATGCATATGAAAGGTGCGTCCCACTTTCGATCCTAGACATACATGTCTAATGCTAATATGCACTTGGCACACAAAAATCTCGGCTCCGGGCGTATATGTATAATAATTACAGTCGCCGTGTTATTATACACACGCAGATAATAGCTTCCTCTGACGCAAGCGCATGTACACCTACATGGGTAGAGAAAAAAAAGAAAAACGAACGCTTATACATGTATACCACCGCAACCTGCACAGACAACTTGACTAACGGAATAACACACACACACGCACATAAAGAGAGAAGGGGCCTATTGCGACACACCGTTTCGACCTACTTAATGTTTTTTTTTTTTTTTTTTTTTTTTTTTTTTTTTTTTTTTTCCAAGGTGCATCATTACTTTGCCGAATAAATGATCTTTTCACATGATATAGGTTTAGTATATTTATATACGTGGCACTCGTGACTAATAGGACCTCTATAATTCACATCCTTTTTTTTTCTCCATCTTAATAAAGTATAATATTTCCGACTCGTGCACCAACATTCACCAAAACCACCAATCACGCGACGCTTACATATATATATATATA